GGGGGGATGGCCACGCCGCAATCCCTTCTCCTCCATTCTCCTCTCGGGATCTTGGGCACGCACGCACACGTGCCCGGTGTGAATATAAGCCACTGGGTCTAAGACTTGGACCGCAGTCGGCTATGTGGGAGTCCAGTCATGTAGCCATTACACCGACTGCTGGTCCCAATTCTTCTATTTTTTTTTTAAGAGGGGTTTTTGCTATATGGCATGCATGCTTGCTGGAAAGATAGAGACAGAGAGACAGAAAGAGAGAAATCCCCCCCTGGGGGGATGGCCACGCCACAATCCCTTCTCCTCTTGGGATCTTGGACACACACACACACACACACACACATGCCCAGCGTGGGTTTAAGCCACCGGGTTCAGGACTCAAACTGTGGTCGACTACATGGAAGTCCAGCAACATAACCATTACATCAACTGCTGGTCCTAATATACCATTTTTTAAAAATAATTATTTTTGTGTTTGTTTGTTTGTTTATATTAAATTTGACCAGAGACAGAGGGAGGGAGAAAGGAGACAGAAAGAGAGAAAGAAGGAAAGTGAGAAAGCAAGCTGCCAGGTCCAGGACTCAAAGCACAGTTGGCCATGCGGGAGTTCAGTGTCTTAACCACCATGCCACCTGCTAGCTCCACTTGGCATGATTTTTAAGCCACCAGATCCAGAACTGGAACCATAGACAACCATGTAGCAGTCCAGCGCCTTAACAACTGTGCCACATGCTGGCCCCTCACATGGCCTTTTTATCTTCACTGTCAAGTCAGAGAAGGAAGCACACCTAAGAACATGCCTGAAAAACCCCATTCCAGATCCAGAGAAGAAGTATTTTTGACAGGCCTCCTTCCGAGCTTGTGTGGCACCCAGCCCTGGGCCGAGTAGCATTAATCACTCGGTGAGTTTTGGTTGATGACATGAAGCTGGATTGCATAACCCAGCTGCTCTGGGGCAGGTACCTGGGGCCACTATCTGACGGTGGCTGTGAGACCTGGTTTAAGAGAAAAGACTTGTGAAGTACTAACTGTGTCCGAGATCTGAATTCCCACCATTTTTTCTTCTCCCCAGTTCTTTGGACAGGTGCCAGCTATACCCCTGGTGGGAGGCCAGGTTTTGGGAGGGGAGTGGGAAGTAAAAGAAGAAGAAAATCTTGTTCCTAAGTGACAGGGTGTTAGGACAAGTTGGGATCAAAACAGTTCCGGTTAAAAGAGACTTTTCAGGTTTGTCAACCCAGAAGAGTCTAAGAAAGAAAAATAATGGGCTTAAAGTATGCCACGCAAGGGAGGAGAACGGAGAAGAGATTGCAGTGTGGGCATCCTCCCATGGGGCGATTTCTCACTTTCCCTCTCACTGTCTCTCTCTGTCTCTTTGGGGAGTGCACGTGCCCTATGGCAAAAACCTTGAAAAAAAATCTTATTGCATCCCAATGATTGCAATAAGATTTTTCTTTAGCCAAGAAACTTGCTGAGGAGATAAGGAAAGAGCATTATTTCTATTTACTTGGTTTTGAACATAGAGGAAGCTTGCTCACCTGGAATGCTGTGTTGCTGTAGCCCTCAGCTCTGGGGGCTGCTGTACCTCTCAGCTCCATGCTCCTTCTGTTATCGGCTGGGCTCCAAATCCTTTAGATGTCGGGTGGAGGTCCTCTGACTTGGGTAAAGGAACAGTCCCTGCTGTGGTCAGAATGCCACCTGCTGCGTAGGGCCTGGGCACTGCTTCAGTTTGGAAACTTCTACTGTAATCTCCTGAATGACTTGGCTAACACCTGGTTGGGGTGGAGTGGGAGGGGCTGGTGGACTGGAAGGGTGGAGACTTCTAGCTCAGTCCCTCCCACCTCATTAATCTTTCCCATTATCCCCATTATTGGCTTGCCAGTTTCCTCCTGGGGGAGAAAACTTGAAGTGCACGGAACAGAAAATGGCACTTTTTCTAAAGTCCTTAGTGAACCTATCTATTTTCTTTTAAAGAATGATTTATTTGATTTTGTTTGTGTATTATTTTCCTTCAATTTGACCCAAGAGAGTCGGGGAAAGTGAAAAAGCAAGTCATCAGGTCTGGGTCTAGAACTGTGATCAGACACGTGGGAATCCTACACCTTAACCACCATGCCAGCCCTGGAGCTACCTATTTTTTGTGGTTGGTATTCCAGACTAGAAGTGGTGGTGGTCGGGGTGAGGGGAAACAGGGAAGCTTGGACTGGCTGACATCAAGTGGTCACTAGCTCTGTGCCAAGTACATGACAGGAGTTTTATATGTAAAGATACACAGTGCTTGGGACCAGCAGATGGTATAATAGCTATGTCGCTGATCTCCCATGTAGTCGACCGTGGTTCGAGTCCCAGACCCAGTGGCTTAAACTCATACCGGGTGTGTGTGTGTGCCCAAGATCCCTAGAGGAGAGTGGAGGAGAAGGGATTGCCGTGTGGCCATCCCCACTGGGGGGTGATTTCTCACTTTCTGTCTCTGTCTCTGTCTTTCTGGCTAGTGCATGCGCCCTATAGCAAAAACCTCTCCCAAAGTAAATAAATAAATAAATAAGAGGGAGAAAAAGATACATAGTGCTCTTGTTTATCTTCTAAAACTGAATTTTCTATTTGGACAAACTGAAGTAAGTGAAGTTAGCTTGTGTGATATCATTACTTTTATGAGGGACTCAATCTAATTTAAGAATACGAATGATCCTTACTTTACATGGTAGAATTATTGAACTTGACTCAACTGCTTGACATAAGTTGGGATCAAAACAGTTCCGGTTAAAAGAGACTTTTCAGGTTTGTCAACCCAGAAGAGTCTAAGAAAGAAAAATAATGGGCTTAAAGTATGCCACGCAAGGGAGGAGAACGGAGAAGAGATTGCAGTGTGGGCATCCTCCCATGGGGCGATTTCTCACTTTCCCTCTCACTGTCTCTCTCTGTCTCTTTGGGGAGTGCACGTGCCCTATGGCAAAAACCTTGAAAAAAAATCTTATTGCATCCCAATGATTGCAATAAGATTTTTCTTTAGCCAAGAAACTTGCTGAGGAGATAAGGAAAGAGCATTATTTCTATTTACTTGGTTTTGAACATAGAGGAAGCTTGCTCACCTGGAATGCTGTGTTGCTGTAGCCCTCAGCTCTGGGGGCTGCTGTACCTCTCAGCTCCATGCTCCTTCTGTTATCGGCTGGGCTCCAAATCCTTTAGATGTCGGGTGGAGGTCCTCTGACTTGGGTAAAGGAACAGTCCCTGCTGTGGTCAGAATGCCACCTGCTGCGTAGGGCCTGGGCACTGCTTCAGTTTGGAAACTTCTACTGTAATCTCCTGAATGACTTGGCTAACACCTGGTTGGGGTGGAGTGGGAGGGGCTGGTGGACTGGAAGGGTGGAGACTTCTAGCTCAGTCCCTCCCACCTCATTAATCTTTCCCATTATCCCCATTATTGGCTTGCCAGTTTCCTCCTGGGGGAGAAAACTTGAAGTGCACGGAACAGAAAATGGCACTTTTTCTAAAGTCCTTAGTGAACCTATCTATTTTCTTTTAAAGAATGATTTATTTGATTTTGTTTGTGTATTATTTTCCTTCAATTTGACCCAAGAGAGTCGGGGAAAGTGAAAAAGCAAGTCATCAGGTCTGGGTCTAGAACTGTGATCAGACACGTGGGAATCCTACACCTTAACCACCATGCCAGCCCTGGAGCTACCTATTTTTTGTGGTTGGTATTCCAGACTAGAAGTGGTGGTGGTCGGGGTGAGGGGAAACAGGGAAGCTTGGACTGGCTGACATCAAGTGGTCACTAGCTCTGTGCCAAGTACATGACAGGAGTTTTATATGTAAAGATACACAGTGCTTGGGACCAGCAGATGGTATAATAGCTATGTCGCTGATCTCCCATGTAGTCGACCGTGGTTCGAGTCCCAGACCCAGTGGCTTAAACTCATACCGGGTGTGTGTGGGTGCCCAAGATCCCTAGAGGAGAGTGGAGGAGAAGGGATTGCCGTGTGGCCATCCCCACTGGGGGGTGATTTCTCACTTTCTGTCTCTGTCTCTGTCTTTCTGGCTAGTGCATGCGCCCTATAGCAAAAACCTCTCCCAAAGTAAATAAATAAATAAATAAGAGGGAGAAAAAGATACATAGTGCTCTTGTTTATCTTCTAAAACTGAATTTTCTATTTGGACAAACTGAAGTAAGTGAAGTTAGCTTGTGTGATATCATTACTTTTATGAGGGACTCAATCTAATTTAAGAATACGAATGATCCTTACTTTACATGGTAGAATTATTGAACTTGACTCAACTGCTTGACATTCTTACAGATTCTTGTAGATAAGAACCTTTTGAAATGCAAGAACCCCATGTGTTTTCTTCCCTTTTGCTATAGAAAAAAAAAATTTTTAAAGTATAAGAATACTTGAGAGCATGTCCTTGTGCAGGCTAGCACACTGGAATACACTGATGAAAAGGTACAGTGATCTCAGCCTTTCGTCTCTAACTATATGAGCTACAAGAAAAATATGGAAACCTAACTAGATTACACATGCAGCCATGACATTAAAATGTCAAAACAATGGTCCTACCCAGAGAAGTTTACATTTAAAATGGTATCTGAAGCCTATATTTAAAGTGCTTTAGGAACGAATGAAAATTCAGACTCCTTCCTTGGAGATCCAGAATTTGATTTATTGGGTCATCCCTTAAAATGGTAGTACCTCTGTATAAGCTATGAGTCATCTTTTTTTCATTTGGAAATAGAAATCGTGATCAGAAAATTACTGAAAGTACCTTTCAACTTAACAGGACTACATTTTAAATAGTTTCGTAGTCAAGGAGAGTCATTATTTGTAAGAAATAGCTTATGCCAGGGACCAGCAGTTAGCATAATGGCTATGTCACTGGACTCCCACGTAGCCAACCGCAGTTCGAGTCCCGGACCCAGTGGCTTAATCTCACGCTGGGCGCGTGTGTGTGCGTGCCCAAGATCCTGAGAGGAGAATGAAGGAGAAGGGATTGCGGTGTGGCCATCCCCTTGGGGGGTTGATTTCTCGCTTTCTGGCTCTCTGTCTCTGTCTGTCTGGCAAGCGCGCGTGCCCTATAGGGAAAATTAAAAAAAAAAAAAAAGAAAAGAAAAGAAAAAGAAATAGCTTATGCCAGAAACCGAGAAACTGTCTTTTTACTATTTTCATTGCAGTATCCCTCAGATTCAGTTTTTAAAAAAGATTTATTTATTTAACTTATTTGTTTATTATTCAGTTTGATTGGAGAGACAGAGAGAGAAAGAGAGGGAGAGTGAGAAAGCAAGCTGCCAGGTCTAGGACTTGAACTGCAGCTAGCTATGTGGGAGTTCGGTGCCTTAACTGCCACACTGCCTGCTGGCCCCCTCAGATTCAGTTTTAAACATTGAAATCTTTGTGTAGAAACCAGATTACTTTAGTCAAATGATTTCTATATCCCATTCCATTTCCAAAGTTGACTTTTTTTTTTTTTAAGAGAGATTTTTTTTTGCTGTGGGGTGCATGTGCTCACCAGAGAGACAGAGTTAGTAAACAAAAAATCACCCCCCAGGGGAGATGGCCATGCTGAAATACCTTCTCCATTCTCTTCTTGGGATTTTGGGCATGCACGCACATGTGCTGTGCATAAGTTTCAAGCCACTGGGTCTGGAATTTGCTGTCAGTCATGTGGGAGTCCAGAGACGTAACCATTATGCCTTCTGCTGGTCCCTGGCATTATTATTTTTATCTATCCCATACTGTCTCCCTCCTTGAAAGAGCATTTAATATGTGACAGATTTGCATTTGTATATACAGCTTCTGGTTGTTAATATAGCCAATAATATATCAATAATAAATAATAAAAATGTGGTGTCAGCAGAGGGCATAGTGGTTATGTTGCTGGACTCCCACTGTGGTTCGAGTCTCGGACCGGTGGCTTGAAACTCATGTTGGGCATATATGCATGCATGTCCGAGACCCCGGGAGGAAAATGGAGAAGAGATTGTGACGTGGCCATCAACCTGGGGGTGATTTATCATTTTCCCTCTCACTATCTCTGTCTGTCTCTCTCTCTCTCTCAGGTGAGCCCACATGTCCTAAGGCAAAAACCTCTAAAAAAATATATAAATAAATGAATAAAATAAATAATAAAAATGTAATCCTGGCATATTTAGAAAACTTAAAGCAATTAACCAATTTTAATTATTTATATCATCTAAAAAGGAAAAAAAAGATCATAAAAAATGTGTACGTGGAGGTTAGAAGACAGCATAGCAGTTATGTGGCTGGATTCCCACAAGGCCGTCTATGCTTCAAGTCCCAGACCTGGTGGCTTGAAACTCATGCTGAGCGCAAGTGCGTGTGTGTCCAAGATCCTGAGATGAAGGTGGAGAAGGGATTGTGGCATGGCCACACCCCTGGGGTGTGATTTCTCACTTTCCCTCTCACTGTCACTGTCTCTGTCTCTTTCTCTCTCTACAGTGAGCACACATGCCCTAAGGCAAAAATCTCTTTTAAAAAATGTGTATCTGACATAGGAAATACTTTGGAATTTCTTTTTCCAACTAAATTATCTTTGCCGTTAAGTTTTTCTTTTCAGCACTCCCACTATGTGTTAGGTACCAGGAAGGGCCCGCCAGGGCACTCATGGCAGCCCAAGACTGACCATGGTGTTTGTCACCTGTCTGTGATTAAAGGATAATTGGACTGTCTGTTTCACTTTAGTTAACCTCTGGGACAAATGATCTTGGCAACAGTGGAAGA